ACCTGATTGCTGTTTGTAGCCTTTGCCGTCAATTAAAACCCGCTCGCTAGTATATATATATATATATATATATATATATATATATATATATATATATATCAGTTTCACCAAGTGAAGTGCAGAAAAAATCTTTCGAGTTCATGGTTTACCAAATCCCATTCCCAGCATGCAGCAACGTTTTTGAGGTAAATCCCATTCCCGGGACCGTACGCAACGGGGGCAAATTTAACTTACTAATCCCTAGAAAATTTAACTTACTAATTTTTTAATGTTAGTATGGGGCGGCCATAAGGATGTATCTAACTGATATGACTCTGAATGCATTGACATTTGGGTACTTATTTCGTCATATATAGCAGGTATTACTGCCCCCCCCTGGTGAAGGTTCTGCGTACAGTCCTGCCAGTTCTCAATGGTCAAAATCCCATTTCCCAGTGTCCCAGTCAGAAATAGGCAAGGTCGCCTTTTACCCCATCAGGATTTCATGTCCCCTTTTACCCCATCATGACCTGACAAGTTTTCTCTAACTTTTACTGAAGACTCAAACAAAATTGGGAGCGTTTCTTCTGAAAGATGAAACAGTAGATACAATTTCGTTAGGAAGTTTCTTTGCAAAACGAAAAGAGAAAACAGAGGGAACATCTTCCCAGGCCAAGTCCACTGCGGCGGAGTTAAGAGAAGCTTCAAAGCATCCTGCTACTATGGCAACAACGTCATCAGCAAAACTGAAATTGAAACCAGAAAATACTGAAAGAAAAAAGGAGTCAGAAACAGTAAGTTGTGTTTACAATATGAGGATGTGCATGTCTGTCATGTGACATTATCTTTGAAATTCTGATTGTGTGCAAGCTCAGTGTTTATTTCAGAATTTTTATTCCGGTGGTTTTCTGTGTAAACTATAGTAAAAAGAACTTTATTAAGACGTTAAAAGTTATCTGTTATAATATTCTGTTAGAATTTCCTGCGTATGTCTATGAAATTGGCGAAAGGAAAGAGTATGACAGCATGCTGGGCTAAGACAAACGAATATTCTAACCAAAGAGAAAACTCATTCTGTTTATTTATTGTAGTTTCTGTATCAGTCAAAACGTCAATTTCGCACAAGTTTACGGAAATATCAAGTGAAACATATTCACAGTCTTCCCTCATATCATATACACTCAGTCTGAAGTATAAGAGAAAACACATTTGAAGTTGTACAATTTGAACGAAAGTTGTACAATGCTATTTTGCATAAAACTAGAAATTTCATCTTTTGTAGCCGTCAAGTTCGAAACGAAAGGCAGAAAGCTCAACTGTTACTAAACCTACGGATACTCCAAAGGTAAATACAGAAAGTGCCATTGAGGTGTGCAAACTTTTACCTATACCTTTCGCAGAAAAAGTAATGAAATTCTGACACTTTGTACGTTTCATCAGATATGAATAGTATATTTCGAATCGTGTATTAAAGAATTTTTGCATGCCGAAATTGAAACAAAAAAAGAGTTTGATAACTTTAGAATTTAGAATGTTTAAAGAATTAACTGTTTGAAGAAGGCGTTTATTGCCTCTTCTACACACACAAATTTAGATGGTGTGTAGAAAGAGTAATTAGATTAATTATGGTGAGCTATTCTTAATGCTTTCCCAGTACATTGTACTTGTTGAAACATAGTTGGAACACTGATCTGTAGTGTATGACTAACAGTAGGAGACAATGGGATTATTATTGCATGCAATGTGAGAGTGTTGAAAAGCAAGGAATAGAATATACGTTTAAATTCAACATGATCAAACCTTTATTTGTTAATCTAAAGCTTGAACAATTCGTGACTGCCAACTCTCATCAACTTTCATCCTCGTTTTCCCGCTTAAAGAATGTTTGGGGTTGATAAGAATGACTGGTGGTGTAGGACACACCTAGTATTAAGTATTTATTTTTAAACAAAATCATTGTCCTCTCATGCTAGGTGTCCAGTAAAGAAAAACCTCCTGTTAAAAAAGCAAAAGGTGAGTGATCTGCTTCTTTACATCATTTTTTTCCATTCATGTTTTCGTATGAGTTGCATTATTACTTTCTTTTCAGTGGCGGAAACGCCGGAAGGCCAAAAACGAGAAATCGCAATAAACCAGATTTTGGTAGGAAAATATTATTCAATGTATATTATTTTTTATATTTATTTATTAGCTTTGCCGTAAAATACATTTACAATTTAAGACAGGGAGTCCGCAACAGCACATACCATGCAATTACTGCGGCCCCATTAGACTACAATATAGACTTACATAGTCGACGACAAGTAATATAACATACAACGAGTGAAAAATTACGTCATTATACACTACATTCAGGACGAGTTTGCAACAGCTAGGCTATGTTGCTATGAGTTACACTTTGAACACACGTGTATGGGTTTGTACGAGCGAGTATCGTCTGTGTTAAAACAAGTTCTTTTTAAACATCTTTAAAAAGATGTTGTGTAATATTCGTATATCCTCATTTTAAACGTTGATTTTCTATTCAAGAACTATAGAAACTGCTTAATTTTAACCTATATTTGTTGTTTTAAACAATAGTATAGTTGATTCATTTTATTTTTACATTTCTTGATATTAAATATTTTCATTTTCTTTGCAATTGATTTGATTAGAAATATACGACACAGAGATAGTTTAGCCAGTTTAGAATTTTCTAATATGTTATTGTCCTTCTTGTGCAATAGAAAGATGTCATATTTGTGCTCAGCGGTTTTAAAAATCCTGAACGTGGTAATCTCCGAGATAAAGCAGTGTCCATGGGCGCGCGCTATCGTGGAGACTGGGACAAAACCTGTACCCATTTAATGTAAGACCAGCACACTAGAATTGTTCTATTGTCTGAAATGTTTAGTTATTGTATGAGTTTAGTTAAAGCTTTAGATTAACGTACTGTGGACACCTTCATGTATCAGGAGCTAGAGAATAAACAATGGCAACATGTCAATTACTTGCCTTCACGAAGACAACATGCTTGCCATTTGCTAGCACCAGATCGTAATCACTGAGGGATAGAGTTAGTAGCAGAAAGTTTCTTTTTTCAATATACAGGCCTTCTATTTTTGGTGCAAATGTGTAATTTTGGCGTAACGTTTATCATTGTGTGCGATGGTAATCCAATGCCCTGTTTCTTACTATGTTTTCCTGACCGGTAATATATACAGATTGTATTTATTAATTCTTAATCTCCATTTTAGATGTGCGTTTATGAATACGCCTAAATACTCTCAAGTCAAAGGTATAAAATATTTATTCTGAGTTTTATAACTATAAGTAATATATTACAAAGACCATCCAAAAGTAGCCTGCTCGCAGACGTTGTATATTTCTTACGCCAAACGACGAAAAACTAACGTCTGCTGACCCGAGCTGCACATTCCATTCCCTTTGTTTTAGGAGCCAATCATCTGGCAGTGTTCAAAAGAGTTAGAGCCAATTGGAAGCCGCCTTAATGAGGGATTAGCTACTGGGGAAAACCCTAGCACATGGGAATATATTGTTTGGGTAGAAATTTGTTTACTTGCGTGGATATATTTTGGAAACTATAGCGTTGAACACGATGTTTACGTAGAATAATATTGTGATCATCTTCTCGCATGTTCTGCAAACAATCGGTGTATATATAAAATGCAAAAGCAATGCAATAGGCGAAATTTAAATTTTTGTTAACAATGACAAACAATCAATCGATCGAGAAACTCGGGTATATCAGGATATGTCCAAATGTTGCTCTTGATACTTGCTGCCGTGACTTCGGCGAGAACTTCTAAAAGATTAAGCTCTCGTTGTCATGTGGAAAAGTATAGCCAAGTTAGAGTATAAACGTTTCGAAGTTTGGGCGAATTGGGAAATTCATCTCGGCGCAATTACAAGTTCCTCGGGTTTGCGTTGTGTTTACAGTTTACATTCAGAAGTGGTTGCTCAAACAGCAAATTAGTTTACTTTGAAGTTAATATTTCGCTTTCTAAGTCACATATTATAGTATTATATAAAATTTTCTGTCTTCTGAGTTCTGTTGTCTTATAAAGATAAACATCCGTCAAAAGTTCAAATTTCATGCATGCTGTCTGGCATAGATTCATGCAGTTTAATGCCATCCTGTCCACATTTTAAATATAACCGAACATCTTCATTATCCGAATCTGATCATTAATGGTGCATTTTATTACCTGGACAAGTATCAATATCTTTAAATTCAATTTATGTGCAATTTTGACCAAAATTCAACCGACGACTGCTTTCATAATATTTATTTATATTTATTCCGCTCCTAAATCAACTGTCGTCACTTTCCAGAATTTGGAAGGTAAATTCTGATTGGTTGACGTAGCGGAATTCATTCTGGCGCTCGGGTAAGCAGACGTTAGTTTTTCGTCGTTTGGCGTAAGAAATACAACGTTTGGGAGCAGGCTAATCTAAAAGGACCACCCGGAACTTTTAATAAAGATTTTATTTTTTCTATATATACTATACAATATACGTGTAAGTCATTTTTTTCTTCCTCATGTTACAGCAACTGGAAAAGGCAAAATCGTTTCACAGAAGTGGGTGCATGATTGTCTCAGTAGGAAAAAGCGACTGCCAGAAAAGAGGTTAGAAAAATAACAAAATGTAAGCAAATATTTTTAATTAATTGACACATCGCCCAACATTCGTAGTCGATTTCTATCGTTGTACTATATTGTTGCCGTGGAAGTGTATGGTGTATGAAATTTAGTTCAATTTTCCTTTCTCCTACACCTGCCACTTCTGAAGTTGACCAGCTTCTGCTGCCCAACTATGTGCTGCCCCATAACGCTTACCGAAACCCATGCACGACCAGGGGTTAGTCAGAAGAAAAAGAATCCGGTAATTTAATGAAATTTGAAAATTCAGTTAGCCCTCGGCATTCACACCCAAGTTTAAAAATGTCGTCTATAAGGAGACCTTTCTTAACTCTGGCCTGACTAGCTAAATGGCTGATTCCAGCTATAGACTAAATTCTGATCAAAGCAAGAAGAACGAAATCCAACACCACAGCTAGAAAGAGCGTCTTAGAATGAGTAAAACTGCAAAGATTGGTTGCTAAATGTTGTAAAATGAAGAAAATATAGCCCTGTGAAGTTCGCAAATTTTGTATATATTTGTATTACGCGCGGTAAAAATAACCACTTTCGGCTCAAAAATGGTTATTTTTCCCGCGCGTAATGCAAATATATACAAAATTTGCGAACTTCACAGGGCTATATATTTCCGCAATTTACAACAATTCGCAACCAACTTTGCAATTTTACTCATTTTAAGATGCTCTTTCCAGCTATGGTAATGGTTTCGTTCTTCTTGTTTAGATCAAAATTTCGTTTTTCGTCGATCTAAATTGGAAAATTGCTAGCTATATAAATGTATTTGGAAAAACGGCGTGTAATGCCGAATTTTTTAGTGTAGCTATACCTTGGCACCAACTGTGCATGCGCCATGAGATTACCCAACTGTCAGATCAGTTGGGTGCTTAGTTGATGAATTCGGTTAATAAAGTAATAACTTCGAGATTATACGTTGCTTTAGATACAAACTGAGAGGTGATGATAGCGATGATGATGATAGTAGTACCGAAGAAGAAATTGAAATACCTGCCGCTCGAAAAACAGATAAAGATCGTCCAACAACTTCACACGCCGAACACATAGTAGGTTCAGTATCTAAATATTCTTATAAATGCTCATTCGTATATACACAAAATGAGTTTACTATAGCTACCTATTTGGCTTCTAATATATGCCCACCCTCTCAAAACCAAGTTTGCATAAAATGACGTTTTCAGTATTAGAGAGCTTTAGATTTCACTATTCTAACGCAAAGCCCCGTCAGTAAACTTGCTTACACCAACACAGCAGATTTCAAACTTGCTTTCATTCATTGTTTTTTCAGGCTTCGCCATCTCGCGAGTTGACATCTCCAAAAACAACTTCCGAATGTAAGATTTTTGCGTAATTTTAGTAACGTTGTAATTTGAAATTGATTTTAGTTTTCTAGGAATTGATTTGGGTTAGTGCTCATGACTCAAACTGTGATATTGCTTAAATTATAGGATCTGGCAACCATGGATATGCCCTCATCCCCAAATTTAGAATTACGGATACAGACTGTGTAGAACAACAAAAACTAAAGCAAAAATATCCCTCTAAATTTCCCAGTTGCCATCTCTTATTGGTCTACAATGTCGACTACAAAAGGCAACCAGAGTAGCCGGGGAAACTCTCATTAAGAAAATATGTGGTGTGTTTAGTAGAGTTTAACATTACTCTGATGCCAAATTATAACCAGGCATGCATCTGTATACTGCAGGAATTCGTCGCAGCAGTGAAAGACACATGCCCAAACCACTGTGTCGCCAACATCAACTCGTGACAGGTATATCATTATATTATCTGTTTCTCTAACTATTTAGCAACTCCAGCGCCAGTCGCAACTACCCCAGATGAAATCAACAAAACAGACGATATTGAAGAGAACTCTTCACTTCAAGACAATACTGAGATCATCGAAGATGAACCATCAGGCAGTGGACATGATACCGAAGATGAAATCAGAAGGTTGAATTACTAAAAAATAAAAAATTGAATATAAAAATAACGATCGAAATTGTTCGGGAAAAAACCGATAAACGAAATTTGGTCGACTTGATTTCATTTTAACTCCCGGCCGCCATTGGTTAAATCCTGTCATGCTGTAAAAAAACTTACATTACTGTAATGTCGTAAGGGAAGTGGGGGTTACTGATTTAACCGAAACAAAATTGCAGAAACTGTAGTGAGGGGATGGGGGCTAATAGAGAGGGGCTTGATAAGTTTTCCTCTAAAAGGAGCTCATTAAAGGAGGCACTGATTTGAGAGGGGAGTTAATAGAGGATTTACGGTAGTTCTTTTAGATCTGTGAATCATTTAATTCCTATTAACATTGTGAAAAATTCCTATTATTTTTAAATCATTTAATTCCTATTAACACTGTGGTGCCGCCAGAAATTCCCCGACGATTGGGGCTCAGGTCCCCGACAAAGTGTTCTTGTGATGTGAAATGGTCACCATCTTGCTTCATATTATCCTAAAGCCGTATATAACCGTGGAAAATGACCACACTAAATAATTGTAAATGATTTTCTCTCTGTGTATTGCAACAGAGTAGTGAAAGATGAGGAGGATCCTTACAACTGTTCAACTGAATGTGAGACTGATGATGATGATGGTGATGGTGATGGTGATGATGTTATCAAGAAAGCGAATCACAAGTTAGAAGGTGGGTTTTCTATATTTATTTATTTATTTACTCAACTTCGCCAGGTAAAATTGCACGAATGACATGCATACAATACAAATACAAAACTATACAAGTGACGAATGGCGGGGACACCACAACAGTTAAAACCAATTACTGCGGGCCCTTTTAACATATAAGTTACATACAGATATCTAGAAACAACAGTTGATAACATTGGTCAAACTTCGACAAGAGTTACAATTTAAACATACAGATCTCCATGTTCTTGGGCCCTCTGCATCAAAACAACTGTGCAGGGCTTTCGAATAATATTGTCGTAACAACTCTTAAATGTACTTAAACTTATATTTGGGAACAGGTGGGAAATTTGTCTGAGCATGCGCGAGTAAAATGAGTCACGCAATTGTGTGGAATACACGCAACGCGTGTTTACAAAAAAGCACAATCGTGTAAATATTGCAAAATGTTTGTACAAAATAAATGACTGTTTTATGTTGAAAGAGTCAACATGTTCTAAATTAATCATACAGAACTTTTTAGTGACGTTCTATTTCACTAGTACCCTGCCATTGTTTCTGGTGGGCTGTCCGTGTGCATTCGATCTGAAACAGTTGCTACTTTGCTGTCGAAGAATTTCGAATGTTTACATGAAAATAGAGGCAAGTCATGCATTTTACAACCTCTTAAACTGTATGAGCCCCTATTTTTACGCTTATACCCAAGATATCAAATAAAAGTACATGAAACAGAGAACATTTGTAGAAAGTTTTATCGTGAGGCCACGGCCAGTTTTTAAAATATCTTTATTTCTGTTCCGGTCATCACCAAAATTACACAAAAGCCGGGATTGAATATACAACAAATTTTGAATCGCATCAAGCACAAAAATACTTAACGTGTAACCAAGATATGCTCATGAAATCGAAATTAATAGCTAAATTTTCAAACTAGACCCTTCTCGAAGCGGTTTTCATGAAGGAAGTTCACATTTCGGCCTTTGATTCTTGGCAAAAATTTGACCACAACACGTGCGAAGCAACTGGGTCTCAAAGACTGAACTAAAACATTGTGAGCCCCTATTTTCCTGACGATATGTTTGATACCTACAAACGCCGAAAACTTTTTTCTTTTCATTTAGCTATATTTGAAATTGAGGCCACGGGCTATTTTTGAGAAAATACAGTTCAAAGTCTATTTTTACATATTTTCAAAATTTGTCAAATTTTGCGAGCTTGTATTTTGAACTTAGACAGCTGAAGTTACATTAACAAACATAGGATGGAAAATTTGAGGCATATAAAGTTAATTTCAACTTACATTTCATTCTCAAATCACGTCTTTCTTCGTTTATTACGGTTTTAAACAAGCCATAGATCGACGTATACGGTATTTACTCCCATGTTCACGTCGCCATATGAACTTCTTCCAATCACTCGATTACAAAACAATCATCCCAAAACAAAGAATTCATGATCGACTTTTAAAAGAATAACCAATAATTTGTAAATCGTTGAATGGAAAGCAAAAAATCGTCAGCTAAAACAGCTTCTTGCTAACTTTCTGCTTTGTTTTGAATGTAAATGCAATGAGCTTTGTTTCTGCCCGCAATTCTTTGGTCAGCGACGACAAATTTCCCACCTGTTATATTTGGGTGTCTTAAGTCTGTTGGAAGACAATTCCATACTCTCGTGACGCGGGTAATATACGATCGTTGGAATGTCCTAGTCCTGCATTTTGGGGGGGCGGAAGAATAACTCACTGGCACTGGAAGATCTAATTACTCTCGTGGGAATTATCGGTGAATATCTTGTGCCCTTCATTAATTTTTGGCATTCATCAATGATGGTCAGTCTTCAGCTGGACATGAATCAGCATCCTCCACTAATAGACCTTATGCATAATGACGTCATTAAGTGTGATGGGCGCGGTGAATTCTGGTCTTAGTACTTACGGCGGGAAAGCAATCCAGCATGGCTACTGTCGATGGTGAGTGTGCTGCTGTTTTTTGTCCTATTTAGAGAGGCTGTTCAACAAAATCATTGGCAAAACTTCCTCCGTTCACCCTCGAAATAAACTGGTGAAGAACGGCGTACAATGCCCGATAAAACATCCTGAAACACAACGCGTAAACATCCAGCATCTCCACTTCCTTTACTCGTACTAGTCCGTGAAAGCGGACTGTTGCCGTTACTTTCAGGGCTTGACATCCTCTGAAGACAAGTGCAAGAGTTCTGAAAAGAACTAGGGTCTTCATTGGCTTCATGGCTTGTATATACAGCCTCTAAAATACGAAAAAGGACAGCAGCACACTCGGCCATACTGGACCAAAATTCACCGCGCGCATCACACCTATTGACGTTATTATGCATAAAGGATATTGGTCATGTACGTTTTCTGATAACACTCATTTAGTTTTCCTGTATCAGCTGTTCTTTGCAACACCACGAGTGACCAGATAGGCGCAGCCTTCGTTCTTGCATAACCTGGTAATCTCATCAGGAAGTTTCCCACAATTATAGCTCTTCTAGTTTCATACTAGACAATAGAGTACAACGAAGAATTTGTTGCCTCGAGCGGGATTCGAAATCGTATCTTCGGTCAAGACAACCCGCTCGAGAAAAGGAGATTTTCGTTGTACTCTACAGTGTCAGAATAATATGAAACTAGTTTTTTCATATCTGAGGACGGTTCTTTTACAGCTCTTCTGTTATTAGGTATGTCCTTCACTCAACGTTTAAGATGGCCCTCGACATTCTTGTTTTCCATTTACAGCCTTTTCTTGTTACCAAATTAAAGATGTTTAATGTTGATCAATATGTAACACTGGAACCCCTCTTCACCTCTTTAATATTGCTCATTTTGTCGAGAGCTGTCCTTTTCCAAACTGACTAGAACAATCAGCCAAAGTTACTATGATATTCATTGTATATATTGTGATTGTGCTTGAAGTCCCCATCCCATTTCCTCCCATAAAAACGCATTCATGTAGTAGAGGATGTTAAAGAGGGAGGGTATTGTTCACGTGTGACGATGGCACAGTGATTTCACAAAGAAAAAATCTTCTATTTCACGTTTCACGGAAAAAAGACGGTGTTACTAAAATATTTCTTCTCCTAGAGATGTAAATTGTTCGTTCATTGTAAGCCATGATAAAGAAATGTTTTGGTTGGTTTGCTATTGCTATTTTTCCTGTTTGTCTCGAAACAGCTTCAATGAAGTAGTCCCTCCCAAAAATTGTTAAAATGACGTTTCACGGGAAATCGGTCTTTAAATCTTGTTTTGCGTAAAATAAATAAAGGATTTCACGGGAACTATTCTTAAATCACGATTCACGGAAAGTAAAATATCCATTTCACGTTTCATAGAGGATAAAAATGGTAATTCACGCTTCATAATATTGTATTCTGAACTATTTTAGATAAAACGACACTTACGAAATCACCAACTGTGGACTTAATCAATCTACCCGATTTCTTTTCAAAGATGACATTCTTTCTCTATGGAGAGTTTGACTCTGAAGAAAGGAGAATGCTTATTCGTTATATAACAGCCTATGATGGGTAAGTTGTCCAAAGTTTTGTATGGTTATGTGCACTACGCTCCAAAAACACCCTGGTTATAGAATTTTCCTGGTTAACCTAGAAATAACCCTGTTTGGGTTAACGTAATATCTCTGGTTGAATTTCCTGATAATTTTATCTCACTTCTTACCATAGTCTGGTTATAATGTAACCAAGAATCTGGAACCAGGTCGAAATATTTATTATCCTTTGATACTGATCTATATTCATTTATTTATTAGTATTTATGCAGTTAGTGTCAATACAAGTATTAGTTCCAATCCCTGAATTACAATTGGCTTGATTTGAGTCGACATTCCGCCCTTCGTCAAAGGGCTTACAGTAGTAGAAGGACCCATGATACAAATTACAAAGAGGAATGGCTCTAAACGTCGGAAATTTATTTTCAGGTAGTTCAAATACAAACCACTGTAGCTTATAGCAGGGATGGATTTACTTGGGGGCAGGGGTGTGCACCTCCTTAACTTTGGTAAGGGGGGTGCAGGGGCAATTTCATTATCAAATAGATTTTTTTCAATTTGGAAAGGCAATATTCTGTCACCATTACCACAATAATGCCCCTGAATCCTTCCAGGGGGCATTGTTTCGCCCATACTACAAACCACTACTGCGCGTAGCTCCAAATGATTATAAACTTGATCAACGGTCGCATTCCGAACCATTATCATGGGTCGATGAGTACCCCAACAGATCTGGCTGGATCCCTTCCTCCCTCCCTCCCTGGCGAATAGTATAGAATGTTATATCTACAATTCTGCTACCTCTGTGTTTAGTTTTTTTTATTTCTTTATAGTGAGCTGGAGGAATATATGAGTGACACTGTGAAATACGTGATAACTAATGAGAATTGGGATGATAATTTTGATGAGGTATGATGCAATCATATTTAATTTAATTTATTAGCTTTGCATTGTTATGGTACAATTAAAGGCAGGGAGCCCGCAACAGCGCGAGCCAATTACTGCGGCCTCGTTAGACTAACATTAAAAATTACATCCAAATACAATAACGTTAACAACATACAGTAAGCAAATGGAAAATAACAGCAATACAACCTCTACATGCAGCATGAGATCGGAATGAGGAGACTACGAACAGAGTTACACTTTGGACAAATGGTTTTATACGAACGAGGATCGTCAACATTATAACAAGTAATTTTTAATGATCCACTGTAATAATTAAAAATGACTATTTTAAATGTGGAAAAGCCACATGTGTCCAGTCTTTCTCATCAGCGAGAAGATGCCAGATACGAGTTGATCGAATAAAGAAGGATTTATTTATTTATTTATTTATTTATATAACTTCGCCATTTATATATACCATACAGTACAATACAAAAAAACAAAACGATACAATCTAACACAAGACAGTACAGTATATATATAGTTCAGTACAGTACAATACATACAGTCAGATGGCTGGGACACCACAACAGTTAAAACCAATTACTGTGGGCCCTTTTAATATATAATAACTAGAAACAACAATTTATAACATTGTTCAAACTACGACAAGAGTTACAGTTTAAACACACAGATTTCCACGTTTTTGGACCTCTGCATCATAACAACTATGCAGGGCTTCCAAATAATAGTTCCGTAGCAATCTTTTAAATGTACTTAACAACATATTTGGCTGTCTTAAGTTCGTTGGAAGACAGTTCCAAACTCTTGTGGCTCGGGTGAAATATGATTTTTGGAAGGTGGTAGTTCTGCATTTTTGGGGGCGGAACAACAACTCAGTGGTACTGGATGATCGGGTAACTCGGGTGGGAATAATAGGTTGAGGGAGAACATCTTTAGATACGTCGATCAGACCGTTTACAGCTTGAAAGAAAAACACAAGATCCATATACTCGTGCCAGTATGATAGTGGTATCTGTTCCAAACTGATCAGCCTGTCGCGGTAGGACTCGTCGCACAAGTAGGGAAGGTTCAGGATGAATTTTGACGCTCTTCTCTGTACACGTTCTATTCGTCTAATTAGACCTATAGTCTGGGGAGACCATACTTGACTTGCGTAGCCAAAAACCGGGCGGACAACTGAGAGATACAGTTTCCGGCGGGTCCGTGAGTTGGATATTTCTCCAGCGCTTCTCCTCACGAAACCTAGCAGTTTGTTGGCTTTCGCACAGCGTTCTAAGACATGCTTGGTCCATATGAGATCACTGGCAACCCAAATTCCTAAGTCCTTCTCAACCGACGTTGTTGTGAGTTCCTTATCCTTGATCTTATATGGATAAGTAGTAGGCTGGATTTTCTTAGTCACGCGCAGACACTTGCATTTGAGCTGGTTGAAGACGAGACCACTGGATGTAGACCAATTTTCTAAGTTACTCAGATCGCTTTGGTGGAGTGCAGCATCGGAGTTAGAGTCGACGCAACGGAAGATCTTGGTGTCGTCAGCGAAGCAAGCCACTTTTGAGTTCTCAACAGCATCAGGAAGATCATTAACGTAGAGGAGGAATAGAAATTGGCCCTAAAATACGGCCTTGAGGCACTCCCGAAGAAACTGGTTTTATAGAAGACGTTGCACCGAGAGTAGTTACACGTTGTTGGCGGCCATGTAGATAGTGTGAAAACCAATTAAGCAGAGACGTAGTTTGCAAGTTTGTTAACAAGAGCAGTATGACTGACCTTGTCGAACGCTTTTGACATGTCCATGAAGATAACGTCAGTTTGTTTCCCGGAGTCTAACAGAGAACCGATGTAGTTCAGCACTTCGACAAGCTGGGTGGTACATGATCTGCCTGGGGTGAAGCCATGTTGTGACGAGTTTAGTAGTTGTAACAGGTGATCGCGCAGCTTGTTCAACACGCAACGCTCGAAGACTTTCGATACCACGCAGAGGAGCGATATGGGACGATAGTTCTCAACGAAGGATTTGTCACCTTTCTTGAAAACTGGTATGTTAGCCAGTTTCCATTCTTCTGGTAGAGAGCCACTATCGAGGGATCGATTGAATAGAGCGGATAGCGATGGAGCTATTTGGTGGGCGGTTTCTTTTGGTAGTCTGGGCGAAATTCCGTCAGGACCTGTTGCTTTATTGACATCAAGCGTTCGCAGACAAACCAAAACGTCCTCGGGAGAAAGATTCAATTCTGACGTATTAGGTTCGCATTGGGTAGTTGAGGGAAGAGTAGTTGAATCGATTAGATCGTAGTTTCTGTTTAAAACAAAAACGTAATCCTAACCCTAACCCTGATTTGTTGACTTTCTGAAGTTCCTGCTCGTAAAATGTTCCTTCCAGTTCTTCGCCGTCATAATCTGCAATCTTGTACACAAGTGGTCGTCGAGGTATATGTTTCGTTACCGTAAACACTTCTTCAGTCCAATTGGGTAAGTATCCTTTTTTAAATGTTCGCTTTGCTTTACTAACCCGGACTGGTCGCCTGGACTGATTTTTTGGACTCTTTCCCGTAGTGTTTGCCACACAATATTCTCGTTGTTTTTATTCACATCTACTGGTCTCATGCTAATACTACGATGTCGAGAATGATTATAAGATTTGACCAGTTTCTGGAGAATGTCCACGTGCTTGAGCGTATTGTTTGCTGCCGGTAAAGTATTTCCACATTTTCGTCTTGAGCGTGCGATTAAACCTTTCGACAATCGATGCCTTGGTTTCGTTAATTGTACGTTGTAAAAATCAAATGCCATGTTTCTTCAAAAAAGTTTGAAACTGTCTATTGATAAACTCCGTCCCCTTATCAGTTTGAAACATTTTCGGTTTACGTCCTTTCTTGATTATTTTCTCGAAGGCTTTGGCAAGATTTACCCCTGTCTTTGCTTTTATTGCTTCAACCCACGCATATTTACTGAGTACATCAATAACATTATTCTGTTGACTGAATGAATCCATAATGACTAAATCTGCCTCCCACTCATCATCGATGGCTCCAACTACAACGCGGTTACGCCTGAGCGATATCGCACAGGTTTATGCAAGTATAGATATCTTGCTCCTGTAACCATAGCCGTATTTTATTCCGCGATATGCCGATATCTGATATTTCCCTTCGTTTTTCACGGCGCGATTAATGGAATCTACGCCACCAAAACTTGCGGGGTTTTTTTGCCATCGATGTCTGAGGCCTGAATTACGATTTTCCCCCCACAGCAAGCTGAAATACAGCCTACTTTTCGCGGAAAAATGTTTCGAAGAGATATTTGTGGTAAACGTTTACAGCAAGGCATCCTCACTTCTCAGAGGTTTGAACTAAATGAAACAGGCAGTAATTATAGACTGATATATAAAGCTATCAGTGTGAGTGAGAGCGTTATTAAAATTGGCCGTTTACTTGGTTTATGTTTGGGAATAGTAAAATTTCGACATGCCTCGATGGTTTTTGGTACATTGTGACGAATAGATGCCTCGCTATCATTTTCTAAACATACCAAAGCTAAATAGGCAATAAGGGGCCGACCATTTAACTTTTGAGGGGAGGGGTTTGTGATTTACTGCTGGCAGGGAATTTTTTTTCTGGGATCGTTATGTGCAAGATATTTTTTTTATCACCATCACCATGTACGATATTTTTTTTTCGCCACACTTTCTTTCGCAGCATTTTTTTTCAATAGCTTATACTATTTAGATTATAGTTAACGTTGAGTTTTTTAGCTTCATGCATTGCTCTTAATAATACATTTTGCTATGAGGAAATAACATTTGGTTCAGTGCCTTTTTTAAGGATGTGCAACTGGAGAGGACATAATTAGCGGGGGACCTGGAGAAGTTCCAGTCGGCAAGTCTGTATCCAGGGCCGTAGCTAGCATGTATAGTTGGGGGGGGGGGAGGGGGTGTAGGCCAAAAATTTCCGAATGACGAAAATAATTTCCGAATATATCATGGCATACTATTAGCCATGAAGGTGTTTGCTATTCGGAAAATGAAGACGCAATTTACAATTATCAAAAATATGCATAATTTACGCACAGACATATTACAGAAGCAGTGCGGTAGGGAGCTTTTGTTTATTGGGGGCAGAAACCACCCCCAATACCAACCTTGCTACAGCCCTGTCTGTATCACTGCAGCTACCTACAGCATATATATGCATGGTTTAACTAATAAGTATACGTCATAGGGCAGCAACAACTGAGTCGACCACCGAAGGTGCGAGCCTCTAGAGGGGTCTGGGGGCATGCCCCCCAGAAAATTTTGGATTTTTTGAAGCTCAGATAAGCTATTTCCAGCATTTTGAGGAGTTTTCCAACAAGAAATTAACCTTACACCAGTCCCTGAAAATCAAACCAGCTGATCTTCTGGGACTGGTCAAATCGATCCCTGCAACCATGCTGTTTTGCAACATTTTTTTTCCCACCAAATACTGGGGCAGGATATTTTTTCCCCAGTTTGTTAGTGCAGGTATTTTTTTTTGTCCAGAATAGCTTTGCAGGATTTTTTTTTTCAAAATCACCCCCCCCCCCTCAAAAGTTAAATGGTCGGCCCCTAAATTTGAACCTTTCAAATGCCATTTCCTGCTTTATGAGCATCTAAATTTGCTCTAAAATTTATGCTAATTATACTTGTATTTGAAATAAAAGAAGGGAAAAAATGCAGAAAAAATAAAAGAAATATTAACAATAATTTATCCATTACTTATTATTAAAGGGGGATAGTAATGGCCGTGGGTCATGTGTGTGGCCGACATACCGTGAATGAATAGGGGGTCTGGGGGCATACTTCCGCAGAAAATTTTTGAAATTTGAAGCCCAAAAATGCCATTAGTTCCTGCCGTCTGAGCATCTAAATTTGCTCTAAAATTTATCCTAACTATACTTCTATTTGAAATAAAAGAAGGAAAAAACGCACAAAGAATTTTAAAAATATTAACAATAATTTATCATTACTTAGTGTTAGAAACACGTAGGATGCGCACGCGGTGACACAGTCCTTTAAATCGATTTTGTTAAACAAGGACAAAGGATAAAGCCTAAAACTTACGTTCCGTTTATCAATTTGTTATTCTTCGCTGGTTTGTTTGTATAAATTTAGGAAAAAGGGACTTTTTCTGGGGGGGGGGCAAAATGTGATTTCGTGGGGGGGGGCACAAGGAGGGACTGGGGGGGTCAAATGCCCCCACCCCCCCAGCTTATATGTTAAAAAAGGCCCTGCAGGACAAATCCAGTTTTCAAGTGAGCCTCAGAACGTGCATTTTCATTTCCGATCAGCCTGCATCAGAGCAAAGTATCCAAGCTTTCTTGGGGACGTTCTCGTTCCTCCAGACTTTCCTTCCCTTTTCAAGGTGGAGCACGTCCAAAGGCTTGCAGGAGAGTTCGGCTGGGTCCTTTAGAAACGTACTTGCCAACTTAAATTGCTAGCTTAAAATCTGCGTATTTTGAAGTATTTTGTGTTTTGTTAGTTTTGCTTTGTAAGATATTTAAAATAGGATAATCACTTTAAGATATCATATGGAGCATAAGGACTGCCTTGGACTTGCATCTAGTCCTTAAGTTTGTTTTATTATATAGCAAGTATATTAGTAATGACATAAGCAATGTTATTATTATTAATATTACATAAGCAATGTGGATTGACCTTTTTATGATACGCTGTACTAATAAAGGAAAGCTTCGCTAAATTTCTTTACTAGTTTTAATTCATTGACCGGTTTTCTAATTCCCAAGACACCAGAGTCCGTTTTATAGTTTCGTAATTCCCCGATTCCGGTTTATCCTGTCGAATTTCTGTTTCTTTTTTCTGTTCTTTTTCCCCCCGTACATATGATTAATATTTAATTAACAATTATTCGCCGAAGGCGAAGTGATTACCGGTGAATATTCACCGAGACGAAGTCGAGGTGAATATTCACCGTAATCACTGAGCATGAGGCGAATAATTGTTTTAGTATAAATTTTTAATGAATAAAACAAAATATCCAAGTTATCCAACTATAAGTTTAATTAAAATTCAGAAATAAAACTGTTTTCGACCGATTTACGGTTTAGTGTTGCAGTGTTTCTTGTACACGCACGCTTTCAAAATGGCTTCCTGTGCGACTTTATTGCTTTATTACAAAGTTATTTTTCTCGATTTCTGCTTAGAATATAAACACAATGATGGAATGACTTTTTTACCAGACTTAGAATTAAAAAATAGTTTCTGTTTAGCATTAATTTGTTCAGGAAATGGCTGAGAAATTTGGTAAAATGAAATGTAAAACTATATCGTTCGAATTAATATAAAAGTTTTAATACACTTTTCACTTTACAAGTTTTAAAAACACAAATAGTACAATACAGCGAAAGGACACCATACAGCACAATGAAAACACGACATAGTCAAAAGAAATAGTATCGTACAAATTGAGATATTTATAGGATACAGAACAAAATTGTTTTAAAAAGAATATCACGGCTTTTCCCAAAAGTCGGGATATTTTTTGCTATTTCAGATTTACGTTTGAAGCGAATGTTTCGGAGTTTTAAATAAGTTTTAAATTGTCCGTGAAAACAGGTGGGAAATTTGTCGTCGCTGACCAAAAAATTGCGGGCAGAAACAAAGCTCATTGCA